TTATTACTATTATTATTATTATTATTATTTTTATCTTTATTTTTAAATAAAATGAATTAAAAAACGAAAATAAATAAAAATTAATTATTATTATTATTATTTTAAAACAAATTTCGGATGGGAATTAAAAAATAGGAAAAGTAGAAATATAAAATTGAAAAGTAAAAGTAAAGGAAAGTGGGGAATTATTTTTGTAAAAAAATAAGAAAAATGGGAAGTGGAAATTCTTTTTAATTAAAAATAAAAAATAAATAAAAATAAAAATCTGAAAATTCCGAAATTATTTTCTATAAATAGAAGAGAAATGTGATGAAAAAAAGGAGAGAGATAAAGGAAAAAATAAGGAGGAAGGAATTAAGAAAAAAATATTTTTCTTCTTCTAGGATAAAGAAATTTCTACTCGTGTCATTCTTTCTTCGGCTTTCTTTCGAAAATCCAGCAGCTTCACCACCCCAAAACCACCAGCCCTTGACCACTTTTGAGCCATCATTAACCCCCCCACCCCCACCCCCAAAAAAACCCCTCCAAAAATAGGCACTAAATAGTCAGTTTTGCAAAGTCGATTGAGGTTGCAAGTTGAGATTTGCCGCTCGAGTTTTCCGTGGTCCGAAGGGTCCAGTTGAGAGCTATCCGATCATTGAGTGGTTGTAATTTAAATCCACAATTATCAATACAAAGGTTCACTTCTCTTTCTATTTTTTTTTTCTCATTAATATTTTGGGTTACTCTGTTTTAATTTAACTTTGAGTATGATATGATCGAGTTCGCATCTGAGTGTGCTAAGATTAATTTGTTCTCATGTTGAGTATTTGTTAAGATTAATTTATTGTCCTTTTTAGTAGTTCATATGGTTAATTTTATTGATGAATATGTATTAATTCGTTACTTTTCTTGTTTATTCAATGAAGTAATGGCTTTCCATTTTAGCATGCTTTAGTTTCATTTTGATCTCCTATCTTAGTGACTAACTATCTTTTCCTACCATAAATTTAATCTAATTTCAAATATTGGTTAGCAATAAAAAAGAGATTAGGTTGGGTCATGATTGGTGTAAGATATTAATTGGACTTCCCTAACGTATTTATGGGCTAATTGTTGCACATGACCAAAAACAAATAAATATTCACAAGCTAGCCAACTTTTTCCATAATTAATTTACTTCATTTCCTCCATAACAATATACATACCTCATGACCTTACAATAATGTCAAAATTAGTAATTGAATAATATTGGAACTCCGTAGCTTGATTTAGGCGCGATTAATAATAAATTATCGTGACTATGGGTACGGTTCATGTGGCATAGTCATGATACATAAACCTCAATTCAAGTGCGCGGTTCACGCGACTTGACCATAACTTCAAATAATAATAAAAATAAATATGTTGTAAATCGCGGGTGCGTTTCACGTGGTGCGGTTTGCAATGTGTACCAAAACAACAAGTGTGCAACATCGCGACTTGTTCAAATAAATTTCATAAATATTAAAAAACAGTAAAAGACAAAAATGCACAATAGGTTTAAAACATGTAATAAATCAGATAATTACGCCAAGTATTAATTGTTAAGCGACCGTACTAAAACCACGGAACTCGGGAGTGCCTTACACCTTCTCCCAGGTTAACAGAATTTCTTACCCGGTCTTCTGTGTTCGCGGACCAAAAATAAGAGTCAAATTTTCTCGATTTGGGATTCTAAAATAAACCGGTGACTTGGAACACCATAAATTATTCCAAGTGGCGACTCTGAATTAAATAAATAATCTCATTTCGAATAATGTTACTTAAATTGAAAAAACTCTTTATCCCCTATCCCCTCGGAAAAAAAAAAAAAAAAAAGGATGTGTCACACCTTTGTTATAGGAAATAAAATTTCCTAAATAGTTTGTGGCGGGGGTATTTGCAAAAGATCCACGGTAAAGAAGCCTATTGGAGGCTCAGACCCAACTTTACCTTCCTAGACCCAATTACAGACAGATATGGGTTCCAAAAGCCTTACAACTCCCAAATGGAAAGAAATTGATGGTCCTCATCTCTCCACGCCTCTGTAATTCTAAAGATACCACTTAAAGATAGAGAGAAGAAACAAATTTTGAGATCTAGAAATGGTGAGGGGAATTGGTGCTTTTTTCATGGCCACACTTCTCATGTGGGTTGTCTCAGTGTTATTCTTTATAGTATTCAACAACCGCACCGAACTGCTTCCAATCGTTGCGGGTTTCATATTCTACCAATCAGCCAATTGGGTCGTCCGCAATTTCCCATCCTCTCGTAATAATCCACTCTTCGTTAACGCCTCTGTATCTCTCCTCCACTCCTCCACTACCTCTGTTTCGGTACTCTTCATTTTAGCCAATCAATGGATAATTATGACGTCATCAAGTGACGTAACTAGTAAGATATTTGAGCACTCACAACTTGTTGAGCACACTTGGCCATATGCATATCCAGCTTTGTGCTTTTCATGTGGTTATTTTGCTTATGACCAATTGGATATGCTTCTCTATAATCTATATACTAGCCCTTCCATTTTAGTGCATCATTTGTTGCTACTTGTCTGCTTCACACTTGCCTTGTATAAAAATGTGACGATTAATTACCTTATTCTGACTCTAATTTGTGAGCTGCATTCTGTGTTTTTACATCTGCGTAAAGTGCGGCGAATGGCTGGTTTTCGTGATTCGAATAGTAATTTTGTGAAGGTAGAATGGGTTCTTAATTTGACGAGTTTTGTTGTAGCAAGAGTTGGATGTCATGTTCTCATCACTGTGAAGTTGATTAGAGATGCTTCTAAGTTTGACAAGGGTGGTGTGGAGTTTCCCCTTGCACTTTTTGGTATGGTTGGGATGAACTTGCTTAATGCTTTCTTAGGAGTTGATCTCTTTAAAGCTTATAGAAGAGAGATGAATCCTCAGAGGAGTTACCAGAATCATCATGATTGACAATTCGTGAAAGAGAATGATTTTTCTGACATTTCTCATGTTCTATAAACTCGTCAACTCAACCGGCCATTTTTCTTCACTTCATGCCACTACGTCAAGAGTTCGAGCCTGGTAAGCTTTCAAATGAAAAGGACTCTCCTGAAGTCAAAGGCGGATTCAAGATTTCAACTTAATGGATTCAGATTCGGAACTCCATAACATTCTAAGTAAATTTAGTGAATTCAAAATTATTGTTTGTACTTATTTATTAAATTTTTCAACACATCTTGAGCCAAAACTAATAGTAGCTTGTTGACTAGATTTGCACGTTAATTTGTAAGTATACTTGGGTTTTGTTGGATTCTGAAGGGGCTTGGCTGTATTTTCCCAAACATTATACAAGCAACTAGTAAGTCTTCGCGCGGTCATAGAAAAATAGTAAATATATCATATAATCTTGTAATTGAGATAGAAGAGATACAATTTTCATGCATTACATACAAATACAAAAAATTTCTGTGACAAAGCACGTTCATTTCTTAAAAGAGGATAAGCTTTACGCTAAAAAAAGGTATGAAAGTAGTAATACATCCCGTTCTAAACTCAATTGTTACTTTCACATTTTATAAACTTTCCAAGAAAATATTAATCTCTCTTTCGATCTCTCGGTCTCTCTTGTAAGTCATTGCCATTTTTATTACATGACAATCTTTTCGTATTTAGATGAACTCAAAGCATATAATTCCATAGATATAACAGAATCCTTGTGAGATTTGGTTAAATCCTTTACATAAGGCACCGTTGTTTAAATGAAAAAACATTCTATGAACAATAAATGAAACAAACTTCTATGAACAATGAAAAAAATATAATGTAGAAAAAGATATTCTATATCTTAAAAAAATAGAACATGAAGCTGTAAAAATCTTTATGCACGTCACTAATACTTAATATCACAAGCTAAGTTTATATGAAGTAATTATATATACTTGTAGGGATACAAAAAGTTGAAAAAGGAAAAAAAGAAAAAGAAAGCAAATATATGAATACTATATTAGCAAGCTTCATCACTACAATATGACAAGTCAAAGAGTAAAATACTTTAGAGTAAAAATTGGGACAATGCTTTACATTACCATATCTAGATGGAACAAAATCAACTCTCTATTCAAATGGAGTAAAGTCCATTTCCATCTCTGTTATGCTCTGTCCACGTCTCTTTTTATAACCTGTCGCAATAACATAAAATATTCCCACAAAAGAAATGGAGCAGCATAGCGAAGAGGCGATAATAAACAAAGTAAACTTTTGTTCTCATAATAGTAGTAATACTGCTTTTTCCTCCTTCTGTATGTATTGTGGTCTTCCCAACGCCAGGCTTGCCAGAGAATGCTGATGTAGATATACAAAATAGAAGGATATACACTATTTTGCCTTGACTTTAGTGTGTATCTGTTAATTAATGACTTTAAGAGTCACGTCTCCATGAGCACCGCATGGTTTAATAAAAGCAAATGGATAGACAACAAAGTAGGCAATTTTTAGAGGGGTTTGCATTTATGTTTTGCTACCTGACATAATAAAGAAGCTCAGAATATTAGTTAGAGTACTCGGATAATTTACTGTTTTTCAATAAAATAGTTGGTCAGAATGGTCCTCAATTCTAAAGAAGATAAATATTCTCTCTAAAGAAGATGAACAACCTAACGGAGAAAAACTAATAGAGCCCTAAGGATATCTATGCCTCTATTAGTTTTTCTCCGTTAGGTTATTCATCTTCTTTAGAAAGACTATTTATCTTCTTTAGGGGAAGGTTTGGAACCTTAGTAGCAGAATGGAATTAGTTTATCGGGCTGACTTCCATGCCAACATGAGTAGTTTAACTCATCACTACCTCGTAAGGGCGTTGAAAATTGATTGATTCGAATTAATCCATACGCTCCCATTTTTAATAAGATTCCCGAACAACCCTACCTACAGGACGTCAGGATAACAGATAAAGTATCAGCTCGCATGGACTTCTGGTCTTTCTTAGTTGACAACTCCCACGATTCTGCTAGTTTAGAAACAAAGGAGAAGGATATCCTTAGGGCTCAAATGCATCTTAGAATAGTTTGAACAACCAGCAAACCATTCTTCAATTACTGATCCAAGCCTTCGTTACTATGTGAAGGCATGTTCTCTGATAAAAATAGTATCTGTATACGGTCGAAATAGATTTCAGCCTTGCTACGTTCGATCAAGTTCGAATGGTAAGTAACTGGAGTGGGATTTTGGGATGAGTTCCAAAGGCAGTACAAACGAGCCTCGAGTTCCAAAGACTGATCGAGGAGTCGGCTCGATACTATTATCGAGCCCATGACCAAATCGATCCGTAAGGCAACATGAGGGTGGTCAGAAATGCGCTACATCCACCCCGAAGGTCGAACTCAAGCCAAATCCGAAGGCTCGACCCAATAACGAGTTCGAGCCAGTATCGAACTCGCAGACAAGAGCTGTTACAACCGCACTAAGGGAGAGAATCTTGGCGGGAATCGAGGAAGAGATAATTCATCATGGGTTCTCCACTATATATATTTTTTTTTATTGTGAATAAAGTAGGATCCCTCTACTATAAAAGGGGGAATCCTTATAAGCATAAGGCGGACACACTGTAACAAAGATCACTTCTCATATTGAAAGATATCCCCTTGTGCTCGTTTTACTTTACCTTATTCATTCTTCTTGCTCATTATTCTCATTCTCATAGTCAAGAACATAGATATTACTATTTCTCTATACGGTTTGTATCAAATTATATCACATATCTTTAGAACTATACTCAAATTTAACTTTATCCGATTTTCCAGATAAATAGTTTGGCGCCCACCGTGGGGCTAAGGATAACAATGATTGTTTAATATAAATCTGCAATACACACCAGTTTACAACTTCGAATCAGTAATGGCTTTACCTATCGACCACGAAGCCGGCCTTCAAGATGAAACCAACAACTTGGTACTCGGGGCCGGAAGGCCACTTGACGATGGCACTGAAGCTCGAATCGAAGTACCTGAAATTCGAGCCGAAGTACCACTAGATAACAATTCGCAAGTGGCTCTTGAGATGAACCAACGTTTCGAACCGGAAAAAAGTATTTAGGGCGGTACTCGATCCGTAGCTCGAGACACCCATAACGTGGAGGAAATCGGAGTCAGCTTACGTATATTCTTCGAGATGTTACAAGCCTAACAAGTAGCGATAGATCAGTTGCAGAGCCAAACTCATATACAAAGTAGGCCAGATCCCAATCCGCTTCGAGAAATCACCCCCAGAACGGAGCCCGCCATAGTGAAGTCAAACGAGCAAGAATCGGGGACCACTCCCGAAATTACTAAATTACTCGAGAAACTCACAAAACGAGTCGAAGCCAACAACAAGAGAGTGAAAACATACAATGCCAGGGTCGATCAGATCCCGGGAGCTCTACCAATGATAAAAGGGCTGGATTCGAAAAAATTCATACAAAAGCCTTTTCCCTCGAGTGCGGCTCCAAAACCAATCCCCAAAAAATTTCGTATGCCCGAAATTCCCAAATATAACGGTACGACCGATCGCAACGAACACGTCACCTCTTACACATATGCCATCAAGGGTAACGATTTGGAGGACGATGAGATCGAATCTGTATTGTTGAAAAAGTTCGGGGAGACCCTCTCGAAGGAAGCGATGATTTGGTATCACAATCTGCCGCCAAATTCCATCGATTCTTTTGCTATGTTAGCAGATTCGTTCGTAAAGGCACATGCTGGTGCCATAAAGGTTGTAACAAGGAAATCAAACCTCTTCAAAGTAAAGCAAAGGGGTAATAAAATGCTGAGGGAATTCGTATCCCGATTTCAAATGTAACGCATGGAATTGCCACCGGTCACAGACGATTGGGCCGTCCAAGCTTTCACCCAAGGGTTGAACGAGCAAAGTTCAATAGCATCATGCCCGCTGAAGCAAAATTTGATCGAGTATCCGGCAATAACTTGGGCAGATATACACAACCGATATCAGTCGAACATTAGGGTCGAAGATGACCAGTTGGGAGCTCTGTCTAGATCCATGCATCAGAACAGGATAGCTATTAAAAATCAAAAGGAGATCGACAGAGAGAAAAGGTCGAACAGAGACCGATATCAACCATACGTCGCAGATCGGATGAACAACAGTTCAACACGCAATACCGCTCGGAACAATCGAAGGAGTGATCGAGGGCACAATTCTCGGGGGCTTATGAGCAAGAGTGGCTTTGATATATATGCCGATCCTATGGAGGCACCTCGGCTATCGGAGTATAATTTCAGCGTCGACGCATCGGGCATTGTATCGGCGATCGGAAGAATCAAAGATACTAGGTGGCCCAGACCCATGCAAACCGACCCTTCCCAAAGGAACCCGAATTCGATGTGCCAATATCATGGTATGCATGGCCACAGGACTGAGGAATGCAGACAGTTGAGAGAAGAGGTAGCCCGCTTATTCAATGAGGGCCACCTTCGAGAGTTGCTCAGTGACCGAGCTAAGAATCACTTCAGAGAAAGGGATGCCGGCAAAGGAGATAAACAGGAGGAACCTTTGCATATCATTCACATGATCGTCGGTGGGGTCGATATTCCACAGGAATTTGTTCTCAAATACGGCAAGATACCGGCCAAAGGGGAAAAATGAACCCGAGGTTATGCATCCGAGGGCACTTTATCATTCGGAATCGAAGAAGTCGAAAGCATCTCTCACCCTCACAGCGACGCTCTGGTAATTTCGATCCTATTACATAAAATTCAAATTAAGCGCGTCTTAGTGGATCCAGGTATCTCTGCAAATATCATCCGATCTTGGGTAGTGGAGAAGCTCGGTTTACAAAATCAAGTCGTGCCCGCAGCTCGGGTCTTAAACGGCTTCAATATGGCCAGTGAAACAACTGAAGGGGAAATTATCCTGCCAATAAATGTGGCTGGAACCGTCCAAATACCAAGTTCCAACGTAATCGAAGGCGATATGAGGTACAATGCCCTACTCAGAAGACCATGGATCCACAATATGAGGGTAGTACCTTCGACTCTACACCAAGTAATAAAATTTTATACGTCGGACGGCGTGAAGACAGTGTACGGGGAGCAACATGCTGCGAAGGAAATATTTGCGGTCGATAAGATAACATCGATACCAACGTCGTCGGCCTCAGAAAGGTCGAGCATAAAAAATAGGCAAGGAACCAAATAGCAATCACAGCAACCGGTCTTGACCGAATTGGTGAAACAGGAAATAGATGATAACAAGGAAGAATTTCTGACACCTCGAGATCTCATCGTCCCCGACGACTCTGACGCCACCAAGTCGACGATCGAAGAACTGGAGCCGGTTATATTAATCGAACATCTGCCCGAGAAAAAGG